ATAATAATAATAATAATAATAATAATAATAATAATAATAATAATAATTATTATTATTATTATTATTATTATTATTATTATAAAACACGGGTAACATTAATGTGAATGCTGACTCAGCATTTACACTAATACACAATGAGTGGTCAATTACAGATCCAACATAAGACTAGTGAACATGATAAAGCATACAAAGTAAATAAATAAAAACAATAGAGAAAAAACTGAAGAGACGAACTTTCTCAGTCTACATCCAATTCAAATCTAGCAAAAGTTTTCTGTAATAGCTTGCTTTAAAACACAAAAACACTGTATTTAAATAATCAAATGTGTTTTTGTAACAAGAGGATACACAAAGTTCCTTTTACTTCACGCAATTCTTTGTCAAAAGCCATTCTGTTAATGTAAATCCCCAATAAACATGGAACCACACAGCTTTACCTGCGGCAGAGCGATGGACAGCTGCCTCTGAAGCGATTCCTTCTCATGGCCGAGCTCCCGGAGTCGTAGCTGTGCCGTGCCCAGGCTGTCCTGTGTCTCCCTCAGGTTGTCCAGCAGCCTCTCCCTCTCTGTCAGCATGTTGACCATCAGAGACTCCAGGTTTCCCGTGCTGCCGCCTTCATCTCCTCCACCTCTGGGGTCCCTGCCACTGAATCCTCCTCCAGCCATTGTGCCCCCGGACCCCCCGACTCCAGCTCCTGCAGGTGAGGAGGGACCCCCACCAGTCCCACATCGCCCATCCTCAGATATGGTGGGCATAACCTCACACATCATCATGAGACCGTGGTTTTGGAGTCAAGTTATTATAAAGAACTAAATGAGGGGATTGTACATGCAAAATGTCTATAGTTGTGCCTAGATTTCTTTTTTTATGAGTCTGGAGTAAAAGATGTAAAAATAAAGATCTTAAATCTTCAGTTGTCCAAAAATATTATCCTTTTTGGCCTTCCTGTGTTTATTGCCTTTGTGTTTTCTCTTTGTTGCTTGGCTTTGTAGGTCTTTGTTTGTTTGTCTTTCACCACAAAGTCCCGACCTACTTGGTAAACAATCAGAACACTTACGTCCCCGTCCCCCGTCCCCCCCCACCCGTTATGCAAGATGAACTGGCAAACCCAAGGATGCTCTGCTGTGGGGCGGTGAAGACTGGCAGGGGACCAGGAAGAGGTTATGGGGGTAGAGGGGACGAAGAAGAGCTCCTCACAGGGTCAGGGGTGAAAGCTGAAAAACAGAGCAGACAGTAGATCTTTTGAACAATTTCCATGTGTTTGTACCAAAAGCTACAATATATACCCCTGACTGGCAACTCTAAAATTGTCCACAGGTGTGAGTGAGAGTTTGAACAGGTGTTTGTCTCGTTTATCTCTATGTGTCCCTGTGATGGACTGGAGACCTGTCCAGGACGTCCCCGCCTCTCACACACTGACTACTGGCTATGGGCACCATGATAATGGATGCATGTATTTCATATATTTTCATAAAGAAGCAAGTTAGCAGTTTCAATTATCACCCGTCCCCTGAAGGTGGGCAACAATGACTGTTCTCATGCATGTGTGTGCATGTCTGTTAGCAAAATATCGGAACCACAAGGTTGATTTAAATGACATGTTCGGAAACTAATCAATAGGTTTCAATCTACAGCTGATTAACTTTTGTAGTCAACCCCAGTCCAATATGACCACCACAACGTTAGTCAAAAAAATAAAAAAGACGCCAAATCAGTCAGTTTGACAGATATTGAGCTAACATTTGATGTGGTAGTAGCTGAGTGTCATTCACAACTCATATTCTGAGAGTGTAACTTTGTAACATCACATGAGACCCAAACAGCTACAACTCTTTAATCCCTCAACACAAGATGATCTTAGTCTAAAAATTCTGCCATGAATCCAGTGGAAGGATTTGGCAGACTTTTACATTTTAAGTTAACTCAAGATTATCTCAACTCAATATTAACTCAAGATTATCAGATCTAAATTGCAACATTCCTATAATATATATATTACGTGGATGATTGAGCTTACAAATAGTTTTCTGAACCACTTTGGCCTTGGTTGTCCTCAGGCTGTTTCTGTGAGTAGCAAGTTGGCCATCTGGCCTAAAACATTTGATTGTTGTACATGATGGTTGTTTTGGATGGGTGTGCGCTGTCTGCACGTGTTAAAAACCTGCTTTGGAGATTCCAACAGGAGGTTGGCTTGAAACACAGCAATGAAGGCTACCTATGGGACAGATCTGGTTGGCAGGCCACAGACTGATGAAGTCCTCTGGATGAGGGACGAAACGTTTCTTCACTTAAAGAAACTGGTCCAGATGACAGGATTTAACCTTTTTTGTTGTTCTAAGTTACATATGGTACATGGTACTGATGTCTTCATGCAAAAAACAAGATGTAGTGTAATTTCTAGGTAAAAGGATATAAATTGAAGGCAATTTAGTTCTTGAGTCATTTATTAGTCATTCTGCTGTTAGATGTACATCAGGTTGCTTGGTGTTGTCTTGCTGAAGCTTCGACTTGAAAAACATGGATGCTACAACACATGTTTAGCATGTGATGCTTTAAGGTAACGCTCTCCCACGTAATTGCTCTCTTTTTGCTTTTCTTTTTAGACCTTTAAATTTGAATTAAAACACCTAAAGAAGGATGGTTTGTCTTTTTGTCCAATTTAATTTTAGCTAGGATCCAGAGAAAACAGCAGCTACTCAGAATCTTATTTATTTATTTATTATTATTGTTTTGCTCAGAGTTTTAGCAATAAATGTTTTCATTGACAGTTTAGAAAAGTCTATGTGTGCATGCAGTGGCAGTGAACACAACACACTTAGATTTGATTTTAATGCAGCCACCAGAGGGTCTAACTATCACTTCAGTTCAGTTTTGGCTTTAAAATCTCTACACATATTTTGACATATTCCCAGAAATTTATGGATATTATTAACATTTCACAAGAGGACCTCCATCCCCAACATTTACCTCCCTGGGCTGCTCCACTTAAATGTAAAGTTTGTGAGATGCTTCTCCAACTGCACCTCAGCCTTTCCAGCCCTTTGTCACCCTGGTTGTAAGTAGTTTTTAGAAGTTTCACTGGTTTCTAATTTAATGTGCGTATACCGTATTTTTCGGTGTATAAGCCACTCTGGAGAATAAGTCGGCGTCGCATCAGTCTGAAAAGCATCACGAAGAGGGAAAAAAACAAACAAATAAGTCACTTCGGCATATAAGTCGAATTTATTATGCGCCACCGCTGACCCGTCACGCTTATTCTGCATTGATTTAATGGTCAAAACAACTTCATTTCGCCTGGGTGGTGCGGTGCCATCCATCTGTCCATTCCAACCATCCATCCATCACAGCCGGAGCCACGAGCTCTCCAGTGTTTCTCTACTTGCACCAGCCGAGTGAAGCGAGCTGGCATGGGAGGACTCGCTGTTGTAGTTCTTTGAAATTTAAAGCGTCTGTCAAAAATTGCATTATGAATATAAAAAAACCCAAAAACAAACATAAATAAGTCACTTCGGAGTAATAGTTGTAGGACTGACAAATCTATGCAAAAAACTGTGACTTATACGCCGGAAAAAACGGTATTGACTATTAAAAAACATTTCTCAAATTTATCTTTTGGTATAGCTTTTTTATTTGTTTGCTTTGATTATTTAAAGGGTATGATGGACAGACACCAACATATTTAATATTTCATATTGATCTGTCAGAGCTCAGAGCCTGTTTTGTGGATGACTCTCAGCTACTATGACCAAGTTGTAGCTCAATATCAATAAAAGTGACCGAGTTGCACCAATTTTGTGTTTTCTAAAGATGATGATGTGCAGCAGCCATCTTGCATCAGTGTAACTCAAAACATATGATGTACATACAATAATTGCTTTCTGAGAATTTCAATAAAATCTGTTAAATAACTAACACTTCTGTTTTGTCTATACTTTTTATGGCAGTGGGTAGCAATAAAATATTTTATGAACATTGCTCAGTAGTAATGTTTGCTTTTAACAGTTGACAAAATATTTAGTGATCATTTAAAAGAAGTGTGACAAAATGAACTGCAGGTTCAACAAGACAACCTGCTGTTTTTTTGTTTTTTTTGCTGAGCATGTTAGAAAAACTCAATCTAAAATGAGTTTTTCTGGAAAGTCATTTGCACAAATTAGTTTATTAGTAAAACATTTGATGAAGCATATTTTTAAGTAATAATTCACTTGTGCATTAAATAATCGCAAAAACATGAGTTGTCATGATTTCCCACCACAGAAAATAATTTTCCTGAAAGATCTGATTAAAGATATTAATCAGTCAATAAGTAAACAAATGAAGATGCAGCAGCTGCAACAACCAATGTGATCCGTAATTTCCTTTTTTTTTATGTATTACTTCTAAAAAATACAAG